AGAAGTAGGATCTATGAAATCAAGAAACGAACGAAACCGAGAATGATCTTTTTCAAATTAAATCAAAGAACGAATATACCGAACGAAAGACAAAGGTTCTTAAAATCAACCAATTTATCTTATCGCGTACAGACAATATCCGAAGAACCGCTCCTAAGAGATCTTTAGTCAGGTATTCTGTGTATTATATGTTGTGAAATATATTGTGCAGCCTTTCTGGAACCTTCTCATACGAAGTAAAGAAACTTACATGTTTTCTTCTCCTCTCTCACCAGTGCTATAGAAAATTGCTTTCAGGGAAAAAATCGAGTGCTGCCCGTTACAACTAACATCATGTAACTGCTTAATCTAGTTACATAAATGACTTACAGCAATATACAGTCATTTTCTTGATCAGTTCCTTTTTCTGTGAAATGAAAGAAAGTCTAGTTTTCAACGTGAGAAACGAAAAGTAGAAAGGAATCCTAATAACATTAAAATGCTTTTTCTTTCTAGAAAATAATAACACAAAAGTTTAGCTTCTTTAAAGTTTTAGATACTGAGATCAGCAGTAAACATTTGATTCTGAATGGGCCCTCAGTTTAAAATATTTCATGCGAACATGTTGTACTCAGCGAACTAAAAGGAGTGAGTTTCAGGAAAAAAAAATTGTTTTGTTTGCCTAGAGCAGCTGGTGGATGGACGCAAGGGCAAATATGATGATAACACTCAGCTGATAACAAGGCAAAATCTGCTAACAAGAAAACTTACTGCGCTAGAGTCCTCTCAATTGGATGTCTTCCCTTCAAATTCTCTTCAGAGGTAGACTAATCCTTCTCAACAGGGTCGTTGCCTGTGAAAAACTGAATTTTGTGTTTTGCTTTGTCTCTTTTCTAAAGAAGACCTAACTCTAAAACAATTGCATGCGATATTGACAGCTCTTATCTTGAAGAGTCACATTATTGAAGCTCAAGTTACATCTGCCAAGACTTGCGGGAAGTTGTAGAACCTGAAAAAACTGCGCGTACCCAGCTACATTTGTCTAAAGTAGCGTTCCTAATATTTGCTTAACGAAAAATTTTCTAGCGTCTAGCGTCTAGCGAAATATTCTAGTAATTTATCCTTTTTATAGAGACCCTAAGAGAAGCAAGACCATCCAGAAAGAGAGTCGAGACAAACAACCATTCTTGCATTTCTAATGTCATGTTTCAGATTAAAGTTGTGCACGAAAATTTCTATCAGAGATTACAGTTGTAAACAAAAGGCGACCAAAGGCGACAAAGTCGCATGGACCTAGCAAGTTTGTCATCTGCCACCAGGGGAATTACCTTTTCAGCTCAGGAATGTTGTTGATTACTGAACTTGAGCTCCAAAAGAGCAAAACTGACAATTAACAGCAACTTCACAAACAACGAAAAAGCTATTGTCACATTATAATGAATTTCAAGCAAACACGTTAATGCATACGTTCAAATTGGCGGTATCGAAACTAAGAGCTCAATTTGCTTAATAATCGTTCATTGTTTTAAGCCATTACACATTACTTGTATGTGGCAATAAGGTATCATAACTGTCACGTGATTTAACAACTTTCTCACGAGCTGACGGCTTGTTTTTCTGAAATAAATCGGAAAGCGTTAAGAAATTGGTCTTCAGAAATAGCCACCAAATCAAACTTGAGTTCCAAAAGGACGAAACATGACTTTCAAAAACGACAAAACGTAAAACGTTCAGAAATATTGTGAAATTACAATGACATTTCAGGCGAACATGATAATTACCTGAAACAAATTGATTTCAAATTAATGCTTTGAAATTATCGCTCGACAAACCGTTAGGAATTGACATTCGAAGACAACCACTGAGGAAATTTTAAGAAACGTGAGACCAGCCAGAAAAAATGCCAAGCTAAGACTAACAAACATTCTTATATTCCTAATACCAATTTTAAGGCAACGTGAAAAAAAACAAAAAACATTGTGGCATAAAAATATGACAAAAACGACAAAATTAAAAGCAACGAAGTGGGGTTGTATGTTTATTACCTTTTATCAGGGAATTATCCTTGGGTATAACGTGCTCTCCAAAGGACGAAACGTGGCAGAGCCGTAGGAGTTGGGGGGAGATAAAGGGAAGGGAAAACTACGTCGGACACCTTTCAGAGTCGGATCTACCTTGAATAGTTAGCTAACTGTTTATCTTAACAGTATGGAAGAGTGTCACAGAACGGCTACTATGGTCATGTCCCTTTGCAATCCCAGGATCTCTGGTGAGATGATGTACTCTCGCTTGAAAGAGACATTGTCTTGTATGTTACTCAGTTACTCTCATTCAGTACAGTTGTTTAAACAGACGTAGTCTAACGCTTGGGCATAAGATGGCGCACGTGATCGCGAGTAGCTTAATGTTCTTTGCACCTCAATGCAATAATCGTGTTGAAAAACGGACTGAAAATGACAACAAATCGTATTTCAAAAGTGTTCCAAAATGCGTCCAATAGTGTTGCAGTGCTTCTTGTTTTCCAAATTTATCCGAGAGAAGATGGCCCCGACTCTCCTAAGAGGATGTACCTCAAGCCAATCAGCACACACCATGCAGCTGCTGAAGTCGTTGTGCCTCCTCACAAAATTTTTTTTCACGAGCCTTAGACGAAAACGGTTCTTGTCACAACTGCATGCGTGTGAAATGACAGGTAAACACGTTAATTGGTACGCCCAAATAGGCATCGAAATGGTGCTCAATTTACCTAATTACCACATATATTGTTTGTAGCCATTGCATACTACTTACATGGAGCACTTAGGTATCACTACTGGCTACCTAAAATAACCATTTCCCAAGTAACTAGCGTCTTCGTTCTTTGAAAGAAAGCGTTATTTGAAAATGTCAAGGAATTGGCTTTCGGGAAATAACCAGCTGCAGGGAATAAGTTGTTTGAAAAGAATATATCAAGAAAAACTACAAATCGTCCATCAAAGCGTTTAATAAGCATTATTTGTAGAATTTTTAAAGACCAGACTTAAACTTTGCCCAAGGTAAATTCCCCTAGTAGCAGATGACAACATATCTAGTCAACCCCACTTCGTCGACTTTTATCGTCTTTTGCTTCCGATCACTGTTTTTATGCAACTTAGCCTTAAAATTGATATTAGGAATGTATAAATGTTGTTAGTCCTAGCTTGGCACCCTTCGTGGCTGGTCTCACGTTTCTCAAAATTTCAGCAAGAGCATAAAGCTTTAATTACTCTCACTCAGTGATAAAACTACCCTGGATAAATGTAGCTGAGCACGCGCTGTTTTCAAGTTCAATGGTTGTAGGTATGTCTTGATAATTGTAAACTAAGCTGCTTCAATAAAACTTTTTCCAATTAACTGCTGTCATTTCTATTTTTCAACAATTAGGGCGGCTCTTGGAACACACAAGGTATCAGATCAATTTAAGGTTTTTTAAACTTCTAGAAATAATACTTATTAAAACTCCTTTTTACGCAATTCGTTGTTATCTTCGATATACCTTGGTGGTCATCTTCGAAAGTCAATTTCCTAACGATTTAAAACGATAATTTTAACTCACTATTTCGATACTAATATGTGTGTAATGATTGTCGTCTTTGCCTGAAATGTCAAAGTATTTTGACAATGTTTGGGAACGTTTATGTTAAGTCGTTTTTAAAAGTCACGTCTTCGTTCTTTTGGAACTCAAGTTTAATTTGGTGTTATTTCTGAAGACCAACTTCCTAATGCTTTCCGATTTATTTTAAAAAACAAGCCGTTAGTTAGTGAGAAAGTGGTTATTTTAGGTAACCGATAGCGATACCGTATTGCTACAGTTAAGTAGTATGTAATGGCTTAAAACAATGAACGATTATTAAGCAAATTAAAAGTACTTAGTTTCGATACCGCCAATTTGTACCTATCCATTAAGGTGTTTGCTTGAAATTCCCCATAACGAGACAAAAGCTCTTTTCGTTATTTGTTAAGTTGTATTTAATTGTCACATTTTGTTCTTTTGGAGCTCAGGTTTAATCAACAACATTTCTGAACTGAGAAGGTAATTCCCCTAGTAGTAGATGACAAAAGTGCCAAGTCGACACCACTTCGTCGCCTTTTGTTGTCTTTTGTTCTCAACTGCAATCTTTGATCGTAATTTTCGTGCACGTTAGCCTGAAACATGACATTAGGAATGCAAGAATAGTTGTTTGCAACCTTGCTGGGCATGCGTGGTTTTCAGGTTCTACAAGTGCCGACAAGTCTTGGCAGTTGTAACTTTAGCTTCTATAATGTGACTTTTCAAACTGACAGCTGTCAATATCGCATGCAATTGTTTTAGAGTTAGGTCTTCCTAAAAAAGAGCAAAGCGAAAGACAAAATTCAGTTTTCCACAGGGAACAACACTGTTGAGAAGGATTGGTCTACTTCGGGAGAGAATTTGAAGGGAAGACACTCAAGGAGAGGAGTCTACCGCAGTAAGTTTTCTTGTACATGTTACCAGATTTCGCCTCGTTATCAGCTGAGTCATATTTTCCCACCGGTCCATTCACCAGCTGCTCTAGACAAACGAAAAAAATTATTTATTTTTTCTAAAACTGACTCCTTTTAGTTTCGCTGAGTATAACATGTTCCAATGAAATATTTTAAACTGAGAACCCATCCAGAATCAAATGTTTACTGCTGACCTCAGTATCTAAAACTTTAAAGAAGCTAACTTTCTTATTACTATTTTCTAGAAAGAAAGAGCATTTTAATGTTATTAGGATTCCATTCTACTCTTCGTTTTTCACGTTGAAAATGCTCCGGCAGTGTTGTTTGTCTTTGAGACGCGTTCTTAGGGAAAGAGTTTCGTACTAAAGAAGGGAGAATGATTTTTTACTATTATTTTTTAAATTTAATTAAAACTTACAAGGTTATTCTGTGTGAATCACATTGATAAATACCGAGAGTATATCTGTGAATATTCCAACTTCCTTTTTAAGTGGTTGCGAAATATTTTAGCGTAAGTCTAAGATGTGCTGCGAGGTCATGGATGTGCCATCACACTCTACTTCGTCGTCTTTTGTCCTATTTTGTTTCTAACTTTAGCCTTTAAATTGACTTTCGGAACTAGTCGTTGTTAGTCCGTAGTCAGTAAGCGTTCTTTGTTAGATTGGTACTCTTTCTGGCCGGTCTTCCACTTCTTAAAATTTCCTCGCGGGCAAAAATTTTCAGTTGTTCTCGCTCGAAGAATTTTGGTCCATCGGTAAATGCTACGAACCCTACGCTAGACAAATGTAGCTGGGCATGCGCTGTTTTCAAGTCCAATGCGTGCAACCAAGTCTTGGCAGTTGTCCACTGCGTTTACGATTCTTGAAAGCCTTGAATACGAGTTCTTGAAGCGATTTTTGGTCCAAGGACGACAACAATCATTTTGAGAATTCTCCATTTATTCAAATATCCTGGACTAAATAATAAATAAATGAAAACTTCATTCAGCAACTATCCGCCATGTTTACTTGCCGAGATGGCAAAGATGGCGAGCTTAGTAACCAAGTTCCAGCGGGGTGAATATATAGAGGATATTACACGGTGGCGAGAAGATATGAATTTTATGTTCGAGTGGCAAGAACAATGTAGATATTGTTCTTGCCACGAGAACACAAAATTCATATCCTCGAGCTAACGTGTAATGTTCTTTTTATTGTATAGGCATACCGATCACGGCGTTTTTGACGATTTTTCCCAAGATGTCCGAAAATTCTACAAAATTTGAGCGAAGGTCACGCGAGCGTTGCCGAACATTTTTGGAAAATTTTCGAAGATTACCGAAGATTTCCGAAGATTACCGAAGATTGTCAAAGACTTTCAAGGAAGACCCGAAGATGTTTCGATCATACACCAACGGATTTAAGAGTCGCCCTCTGTAAATTTCAACTATGGCCATTTGACCAGAAAAAACCAAATTCTTCAAACTTTCTCAGATGAACGGTCTAGATAAGTGACTCACAAAAATATAACTTTCAGTTCAATTT